ATTTTATTCTATTAAATCTGTTTACATTTCAACCCGTGTTTCCTTGTTTTTTCCTTATTCCCTTTCCCGGGTGGGAAGGGGTCATCATGTGATGGAATGGTTGTCTAAATGACAATAAATTGTTATGGGTTTCTCAAACCATAACAGGTATGTATGTGCTACAGCTGGGTATCTGCTTGGGACATAAAAACACATAGGACACATAGCTTTATCTTAGTTAGCTTTTGCATGAGCAGCAGCCCAGAGGCATTAGCATCTTCAACTGTGGCTTCTTGAGTTAGTACAGAGCTGGCCCAGAAATTCATACTCCTGTAGCTTGCAGGCTCTTGGTAGCCGACAGCTAGATTAAAATTAGCTCAGTTAGTGTGGCCTGTGGGACAAACACACCTCATGACTGCTGCATGCTAATTCCAGTAGCTGCAACAGCAAGGCAGGGAATGTGTGTGGAAACACGAGAACCATATTGCCAACGCCCATGTCTGGCTGAACAAGACTGTGACTTTTCCATGTGTTTTGTGAAGTAACAAAGTGGAAAACACTTGCCCCTCATTTCACCTTTTGAAGATACATGAATGATGCATGCAGGGCAACATGGTGTTCTCAGGATAACAAAAAGCTGTGTCAGCTTCCTCCCTGCGTGCTCCTTGAACACCTTGGTTCCTGCTTGCCAGCGTTTTGCTGTTCAACTCCTGGCCCTCCCTGAGCAGAGTTCCTTGCTTCAGAATGTGAAATGAATTTTCATTCATGTTTCTGCTGGGTTGACAAGATAAAAAAACAAACTGCTACAGCTAAATCAAGCTGAAAGTTTATTAAAGTATTTGCATGAAATTGCATCACCAGTACAGCTAGTAATTCCCCATAAGAAAGCAAACATGCTGGTTCAGCTACTGTAAGGATTTCTACAGAATAATGGGATACCAGCTTTTTTTAGTTCTTATAAAACCATTTCTCAGTCTTGCTGTGGATTCCTTTTATTTTCTCTGTACTAACCTTGCTTATTCAGAAATTATTACATCATATTAATAGTGTTTTATACAAGCATCTGACATTTCCCTTCTGCACTCATTGGCTTTAGCCTATTGTGTTGCAGGAAGCAGGCCAGAAAGCTGATCCTATAGTCTGTCCACAGGCAAAAAGGAACTAGTATACTGTGCAGTAGAAAAAGTGTGCAAATTTCCTTATCACAGATATTTGTAGATCTGGATTTCTGCATTCAGCCAAGCTATTCCACAGGAAACTTGTCTAGGACTAGGTGCATGATGTTCAAGATTGAAGTGAAGAGTTTTCCTTCACAGAACTGCCTTAGGTAAAAACAGTCTATACTTATCAGACCATCCCTAATCCCGATTAACAACTGACTCTATGATGCTCATTTATTATGATAGTAAGCGCTATCAGTCATATTATAGCTTTTTCAATTAATTTAATAATTTCCCATAGGAATACACGTACAGCAATTCATTTCTCAGAACGTTGGCAGCTTTTCTAAAATGTTTCAATTAAACACATTCTGACCCCTTTGATGTTGCTCTGAATTTTAATTATTTTCCATTGCAGAATACTGGTTTAATGATGACCTGAATATATTTCTTAAAAACTAACTATGTGTGTGGTTGCATACAGCAAGGGTGAAAGGTTTGTTCCTTGTGTATTGGTTATTGGCCCACTCATAATGAATGGTTCACTTCTGGAAGAACTTAGACCTTAGAGGCCAGATCAGGAGAAATACTGGGCACTCTCACTGCAGACATTTTTTATCTCATAGAAAAAGCAAAACAGAAGAAAATTTGACATGCCATTTACACATATTCAGATTGGACCATGCATTCTTAAATTGTGAATTGTGAAACACATCATAAGAGGAAAAAAACCATCCTATTAACATTTCCCCTCCTAATCTCAAATGCAAGTCATGCAATTTATCTGAAGGTTGCAGGGACTCCTTACAATATGGGAAATATTTCAAAGTTCTAAACTTCTTCACCAGAAGTTTTGCTCTTTTTGGAAAAAGTAATACCACGTTTTCCTACTTTTCCTTTTTTCTTATCCTTCTTTCTTTTACAATCTGTTTTACACTCCCATATTACCTGAACACACTTTCCCCATCAGAATTGTTGTTCCATATTTTCTTCCTGAATCATGTGTCTAACCACTGTCATTTTTTTCCAAATCTTTGTCTGTCTGGTCTCCACTTCCAAAGATCCCCGATTTTTCCGAAACTCTGACCTCTCTCTTCAGATCTTCTGAGACCCTTCAGCAACACCTGGAAATAAAGCCAGGGATCAACCAACCTGCAGTCTTCTGCCTGCTGGCCACCAGCCAATGGTTCATTGATGACTGTAAATAACTGCTGGTCAGGCTATTTAACTCTGAAAATTACTAATTCTGAAAAGTAAGCTGCATTTAATTTTGAAAATCTTCATTCAGGTTTCCAGTGCAAATTGGGAAAAACTGCAGAAATGAACCTTCAGCTACCTGACCATACTGTTCTCCTGCGATATTTCTGTACAGCAGGTGCTTTCCAACAGGCTCTGAGATCACCCACTTTCTCTCCTGAGCAGGGGCAGTGCCTCTAGTTTCAGCCATTTTTGATCACTCTGTATGTTGTGCATCAATGCTGTGAGAGGAGAAAGCCTCTGCATTTGTATGACTGTGCGATGAACTACATGTTCTTCCCTTCTCATCCCACCCATGTACACGCTTATCTTTCCACGTTAATGTCTCTGCAATGATCCTCTTCAGCAATGAAAACAGCTCTCTCAGAGTGTGAGCAGTGAGTGGCTTTGATCATCCAACCTGCTACGATTTGCAGGTACATTGGTGATGAGAATAGGTTCAGAAGCAATATTAAAAGCAGCAGAACTTCAAGCTGATGGCTTCATGAGGGTTGCAAGAAGGATGTGTAAACTAGTGCCCCTGTCACTCACAGCGTTACTCAGTATGGTGCGTAAGGCCTTGTGTCACACAGAACAGGCTGCTTTTGCCATCAGGCCAGAACCTCGTTACCCGCTGTGTGACATAACGTTGTTTACCAAATTATGTAGGCAAGAGAGAAATGTATTCCCCGAACGTAAAACCCTAGGAACACAGTGTCATATGACACAGTGCTACATTGAGACATTCTGAGCCTGAATTTCAGAGAAGCTGAGGTCAGAAGTCAGATACTCAGCATTTCTTAAAAACTCCATCTTTATAATTTCTCCTTTGCCAGGCATGCTTACCATAATCTGGGTCACATTGCTTAAGGTCATTCTGTTATTTAGGTAATTAATGAGAAGACATGCAAATCCTTCCTAACACTGAAGCAAGTGTTAATTTTATGCTTTATTGGTTTATTTTTCAAAAATACGTGCCTGTACTGCTGATTTGCTCCTCCTTTTCCAAGCCAAATGCATTTACTGCTTAACACCAAGGGATGATTAAAACTGCACTCGGAGCACGATGTGGAAGATGATCGCTGATAATTTAACCATTTGACTCTGCAATACTATTAGGCAATTGGCTGTTGACATACCCTTTCTGCTGGTAGCCCAGTTCAGGTAACCAAGCGGCGTGTTGTGTAAAGACCGCATTCCAAGAGAGCTGTAGAATCAACAAGGAAGCTAAACTGGTTTCTCTTCAGATTTCAACAAGATCTCATTTTTCATCTTTCACAGGGTTTACTCTCTGCTTTGTATCTTATTATTTTCAATTATTTTTTAGAAACACATTTTCTCCTCTAGCTTCTTTCTTAGCGTTAGGGGACAGAGCTAGGACCTCAGTTCAGGGCAAATTAGAATAAAATGAAGCTTTCTTTATGATAGCGTAACTTGCTTAGCCTACTTACAGTGAGAAAGCAAAATGCAGAAAGGAGATGTCAATAGACAGTTACAATGATCTTACCCTTTGTCTACCTTTTAAGAACCTAGCAGCAAAAGGAGATCACTCAGGTCTTCGTGAGCTCCAGCGGGTGATTCCACTTGGGCCTTTATGAGGATAGTGGGAAAAGCAGCTTAAAAACACCCGATTGCACTCTGCAGCATTAATTTCTGTCATTACTCCAGCAGTTTAGACACTGTGAAAGCTACACGCCCCAGTCTGTGCTCAGTACTGGGAGGTGGCCTGAAGCTGGCTGTCCAGACCAATGATCTTTGTGAGTTACCTTCGCATGAACTGCAGGCTGTCCAGATAAGGCATGTTACGGGCCTATATGGCTGGACAGTGCAGTGTGGTTACATCAGTAACAGTGACCTGGCCCACAAAAAGGTGACAGTAAATGATGGGGTTGAAACTGGATAGAAAAAGCCTCAGACACAGGCACTTCAAGTGGGCACTGGAATTCTCCACTTCTGTTTTTTTCTGCCAGTATACCATTCCCAGTGTTACTTTTGAACAACTCTGTGGCCGTACAGTGAGGCAGTTCAGGAACTAGTCCAACAAAGAATAAACCAACAGAAAGAAACAGACTATTTTTCAGTGAGATCAAAGGTCCATGTGCAGGTTCACTATTCACCCCCTCCCTCTTGAATTTGTGTGCCCAAGAACCAGAAGATGGAAACTTCTGCCGATACGCCAGTATATATATCCTAAGTCTCAGTTTAACTGAGCTGAAACTCCAATTCCACATTTGTGGAAGCAGAATCTGTTAAAACAGTCTGAGAAGTATGTAATGGCATCTAAAGAGAAATTAAAATGGGTCCTTGATCAGATTAAATACAGTGTTTTTACCAGCATGGAATAACTTAGATTTGGGAACTTTTGCCCTGCAAACAGCTATGTCCAGCTATCTTATTGCTATAAATTAGAAAGAATCCTTGAAGGAACATATTCCTCCTTAGAAGGAGTATTACAATTTTCAGCTAAGTTAGTATACACTCAGCTGCAGACAGGATATAAATTTGATCACTACATTTAATCCTAACCTAGTATTAAATACGAATCACGACCAATGGGTGTATCCCAGAATAAAGACATATGCATTCTCTAGTTATCACAAGTAATAAACGCCAGATTATAAATACCTCACCCACGGACAAGCGCTGCATGGCTGAAGTCTTGCACAGCTGTTTTTGAGTCAAGCAAGGACTCTTCTTGCAGGTCCACATACTCTCCTCTTGCGCTGCCTCTCTTTTATCTGTCCACGATTTGGACTGCTGCTCGTGTTGGCCTCCCCCTACAGCGCTGTGCTCCATTATGTGTGGATTGTGCCATGCTTCACAGGTGCCTGCAGAGAGCTTTGAAGAAGGAGACACTGAGCAATAATAAGATGCCAGGAAGATTTTATTGCTTTGGAAATACTTGTATTTCCCTTGCTATCTATCTTAAAGAGCAGACATTGGCTGAACTCTTTAACATATTTTCCGCCTGAGCCCATTGCCAAAACTCAAATGCTGTAGGCTAGACTAAGAGTTGGGATGAGGTAATTGACAGAGCGAGGTGGAGTTGTTCAGCCCTCTACCCATTACAAACAGCAGGTTATTTATTTCTGTCAGGAGGACACTTAAGATTCCCTGCACTGTGATGAGAAGTCCCTCTTTTCCTGGTATTTTTAATAACAGCTTTGACTTTCTAGAGAAAGTTCTTTCTGAGTCTGGGGAAAAAAAAATAGAATCAGAAGTAAGGCCTCTGAAGGTCGATACTACATTTAAGGAACCTGACAGAGCTTTCATGATCCTTAGTTGGGATAGCATAAGCTTATTACAGGGTATGTTTCACTCTTAATTTGCAGCAAGACAAAATAATCTTTAATTCCTGTCTTCTTGCATTCAAATATAGGATATGAGCAGACTAACCAGAAAAGCTTCTTCCCCCATTTCATGTACACCATTGGCACACACAATAGAAAAAAAAAATGTTGCTGGCTATTTAAGGTGATCTATGAACTATTAATTAGGAACAAGAGCCACATCAGAACTGAGAATCTGGCTTCTATTTTTACCTTTTGGGATAGAAACATCATAGCTATCTATTTTACTGTGTTTCTAATTAATTAAGCAGTAATGCAAACAGGTGCATAAGTATTAAAAATGGGCATTTTGTACACTTGTACATAAATCTGTGTATGGCGAGTTGTATGTATACACAGTATGTACATATGTACAGTGTGTACATAAAATGGACATTTGGAGTTTAAAAATATACCTTCTAAAAAAAAAATACCAGGAGAGAAACTAATTGGAACATTTATGATTCTGGAGTTGAGATTCAACTTATTTTAATGCTTACAAGTTTTGTTCTCACTTGCTGTTTGTTTAATTTTTCAGCTTCTGTGCTTGAGCACTGACTTTATAAACAAAAGCTCTCATTACCTCTCCTTCTGGCTCCAAGATATATCTAATCCTTCATTCACACAAACAGATCTATCCAGCTACAAATATGTGCTTATTTCTATTTATCTCACTTCTTGATACCATTTTTATATTAATTGTAATCAGTGCATTCCATCCTAACTTACATTCTGTGCAGATGTTTATTCAGTTACATCCTCAAACTCTTTATCATAACATAATGAAAATATGAAGTGTAAGCTCATCAAAACACACCAGGGGGCAGGGGCAATAGCAGGCACTCTGAACCTGGTAGGTTGTCCACCTAAATGTTACAACTGGGCTTTCCATCACTTTCGTGGGAGTGGTGTCAGACAGGGAGGTCAGCTCTGGTGCCATTTGCCTTTCAGGTTGTTACAACTTCTTTTTGCAAGCTACTGCCTCTCTTGAGATGCCAGCAAAGTAGTTCCCTCTTCTGTGTAAAGCAAAATCAGCTCCTTTAGGGTAAAGTTTAAACTGTTAGTTGAAACAGAGTAATTTCTTGCTATATTTATACATAATAAAAATGTTAAAACAATGCAGTTTCCTTTGTGGTGGTCAGAAAGAAGACAGTAATAGGGGAAAGCAGGAGACAAAGGTTCTAAATCTGCACTTCTCCCTCCTCAAGAAATTGTACCTATGATTTACTTTTTGATTAATGCTCCTGTTATTGATAATTTTCAGCTAGAAGCTCTCAGGAGTAGGATCACTCTCAGTCTCTCTTCCTCCTTCCTTTTGCTGACAATTAGCATGAGTCAGTCTACAAAGCATCTGCAGTGTCAATGACTCAGCCATGTGACACGTGCTCCATCAGTTCATCTAGGCGTGATTTTAAAAAGAAGCAAATACAAGTTTTTTGTGCTGTGGGAAGACAGCTCTTTCAATTTTATAAAAATAAAACGTTCCATCCAACCACCCACAGAAGGAAGTGACTTCATACAGCTGACCACTTAGCTGCCGCCCTAGCAATTGTCAGTATATTTTATGTCTTTCCAGCAGGTCAAAAAAGCATTTTTCCTTTTGGTTCACATATAATTTTAAAGAACTCATGTTGTGAGTTTAAGGAATATTTTTCAAAAAACCATTCTTATAAAGCTTGTAGGTACTTGCCTCATGCAGTCTATAGCCTCTAAGTACAGAGAGTGCTGTTGCAACTAGCAAAGCTACTGAACAAACTCCAACTGGAGACCAGAGCTCTTCTGTCATTCTTTCTGTCCTGGACAAAATATTGTGCAGCATGTGTTCCGTTCCAGGCAGGAGGTGCTTAGAAAGATGCTCCAAAGACAGAGGAGATTTTATATTGTTTATGAAGATACACATTATGTATAGGGGATACTTTATACATGAAGAGAGTAAATCTATTTTGAGTCCACAGCTATCATCCTCAGTATACTGTGGAGTGAAGCTGTGTTTCTGGCAGTGCTGATCTCAACCATGTGTCAAATGTTTCCTTGATCATTCACCGAGTTCCAGTTACCAAAACTCTTTCTCCTCTGAACACATAAGGGACATGGCTTATGGTGATATTTTCCATTCTTTGCTTTCTTTCCAGTAAATGAATCTAATTTAATGTTTTAAATAGAGGTTCTGAGTATTTTTATTTTCAGAGTGAGTCCTAAGGAGCATTCCCCAGATATGTCCCTTTTTTTCCCCTGAGTGAATGCAGAGGTTCTGCTGATATTTGTTAGGTGTGGATGTCTTTGCAGGTGACTATTTAAATTGTCAGCAGATACTAAGTACCACTGCCAGTTTCAAAGTTTAGTGAAACAGCCAATACGTTCACAGCAGCAGTATCCCCCCTTGAGGGAAACCAAGAACAGCATAAAACAGACAGTCTACAAGTCTTCTGATAGTCTAGTCTAACAAATATCACTTATGCAGTATATTTCAACTTCAAAGGGATCTAGTAATGAATCCTTAAACGTCATTCTGGCAGCAATTCAGAAAGCTGGAGGTCCATGACATGGAGTTGATTAGAGTTATCTTTTCTATTTTTAATGAGACATATACTAACCCAGGCAGCTTACTGCAGAATCAGTGTCCTGGGAACAATCTGCAGACCATGCGCTTGTACTACACAGAAGGGGAAACATGGAGCAAGTTTGTATTGTCGTAATTGTTTGTTGCATGTCTTACAGTGGTGTCTCGGGCAGTGGGAGGAGCCAGATGTTAGCCTAACCTGTGTTTCAGGTTACCTGCATTTGGGTAACACAGAGGGGCTACACTATACAAAGCAGGTTAATTAGAAGTCAGACATTCACTGAAGCACTCTCCGCCTGACTCCTTGGCTCTGAGCGATTACTGAACAACAAACAGGCCAAACTGCGATGCATGCCTCACCATACAAAGCACTAACACCAAAATAAGAGATAGCACTTGCAGCATTTAGAATCTACTTTACACCTTTTGAAGTGGGGTACATATTTTATTTACATCTTTCAGTATGTGCTTTTTGTCCTCTGTTTCGGGATTTGTTGGTAAACATTTTTCTGTATAATAAGCTGATTTATAATTTCCAACATTCTTCAGTTTGGTATCTATTTGATGTTTTGTCAGAAGTTATCCAGACAAGAAAGAAATCCCAGTGTTTGAATCATTTTACCTGGAGTACCAGATAATCAAAGAGAGATGACAAACATGATGCGCATTTACAATAGGGGAAAAAATGCTATCTGCTATGGTGTCAGCAATTCCCATCTTGCTAGTATGTACAATTTTCTAGTGAAAGGGTTTCAAAAAACAAAGGATTCTGTCATCTGGCACCAATGCCCACAGCAACAAGTTCATAGACCTGACTGGCTAGTCGGGGCACTAGCATTTCTGAAATACAATTAAAAATATTATAATAGTGAATTACATGAATTAATGAAATAATTTGAAATAAGCTGATTCTAAATGAGTGAGTAAATTAAAGCTTCATGTAGAATCCGCTTGTCAGTTGAAGCTTTATTTGGAATTTGATCACAATTTATAGTTTGGATTATTTCCTCACACTGGATTTGGTAGGGGCTGTACTTATCTAATAGCATAATAGGCTATTTAGATCTTAAATGAATCATCAACCACCTGTAGACACACTGTAACACAAGTGGGTTTTGTAGAGCATAGCAATAAAGCAAAGGCTTTTAAGAAGTCTGTTATGTGCTGAACTGTGTCTTCCTCACTGCCTGATAAAGACCTATAACCTCAGGTAATAAAATCTATACAATTCTACTGGATAAAATTACTTATCTGTTGTATCTTGTACAAGCAATTTTAAAATATGTGTTTAGTCATGGCATAAAGTTAGTTGCAGCCAGAGTATTCAGATAAATGAAGGTGAAATTAAATCTTAGCTGTCTAGCTCTCTCGTGAGACCTTCCTTTCTAGGAAAAAGACCCTGAAGAAGGGCTAAAGATTTATGAGAAGATACAGCTGGAAAAGGGGAGAGAGGCTGACACACGATCTCCCTTAGCCAAGAAGCCTGCCCAAAAGTTTATGCAATGTGTGTTGTCTGCACAGTTTCAGAGTGTTCCCTCTGGAGAACACTTAGCTGTGATACTTCTCGCTGGCGGGGAGAGTTGAAAGGTTAAGAGGTGTCTTATTGCCAAAAGATTGCATGAGGAAATAGGTGCTTCAAGGTCAGATTCGGCTTGAATGCCAAGGAACCTGTGAACATTGAGACATGACGCTCTAGCTTTTCTGAGGGACTTCAAACCTTCTCACTGACAGGAAGAGACGTGAAGAAAATCTTGTGACAGCCAGATGGCTTTTCTTTCTTCCCGGGAAAGAGCAATCCGGCTCACTAGAAACAGCGCAGTAAAGCTTTCTTCTCGAAAGAGAGGAACAAACCGGCTCGAAAAACCTAATAAACCTAACTGTAAAAATCAAATAAGGTTTCCCCTTCTCCTTAAAGCCCACTACTCTTCCAGAGCCCCAGTGAGCACCGCCCGGCGCCACAGCCGCCGAGCGAGGCCCAACAGTCCCAGCCGCCCGCCGAGGGGCACCCACCCCCCTTCACAGGAGTAAAGTTTTCAGCCGGGGCCCAGGAGACCGCCACCCATCGCGCTGAGGGGGCACCCCGCACCATATTTATCCCTATTGAGCGCAAGGTCTGTTACCGTATATACCCATATGGCGAGCAGCGCGGGACGGACGTTCCCAGAAAGGAGGCGCTACCGTATTTACTGCCAGTGACGCACCGCCACATTTCGGGATGTCAAGCCCAACACGTGCTCCCGTATATGACGGCGCAGAAGCGCAAGTCCGTAATACCGCTCATGCAAGCAGCACGCCGGGGCAGCGCATGCGCTGTGAGGCGGCGGGGGCGGGAGCGCGACCCGGTGGGGTGAGGAGGAGCGGTCCAGTCCCGCCTCCTTCCCGCGGCTCTCGGTGCCGGCGAGGCCTGTCCTGGGCCTTGATTCGCCGGCCGGGAGCGCCGGAGCCATGGCGCAGCGGAGGGCGATGGAGCGCGGGCCTTGCCAAGGGGCGGCGGAGAGCGCCAGGCACCAGCGGCAGCTTCTAGAAGGTGCCGGGGCTTGGGGCGGCGGGGGGCGCGCGACCTCGTCCTGCTAACGGTCAACCGCCAACGGTCGCCCGCTCAACCGCCCGCGGGGGCTTGGGCGGGAGAGCGGCAGCACGGCCGCCTGAGGGGGGGCCGGGCTGTGTGTGTGGGAGTGGGAGTGGGAGTGGGTGAGGCGGGCTCCCCTCGCGGGGCCTGTCAGCCGCTACCCGCGGAGGGGCCGGAGGCCGAAATGGGCCAGCAACCCGCCCCACGTACACGCTAATGAGGAAACACGCGTGGGTTCGCGTGTGTGTGTGTTAGTCCACATCCGGCACGACTGCGGTGCCAAAGGTGGCAGGGGCAGAAAGTGCAGTTCGCTGTATTGTCCTTATTCGTCCTTTAATTTTTTTTTTTAAAAGTATTTATATTTTTTTCCTCTATGGAGAAGATGTCATTAAAATAAACTACCTATGGGGTATTCATGCTTGTCACTGCTACATGGATGCAGCCTTATATGCCCTTTCGGCCTTAGCAGAGCCAACGCACACCTGTGGGATCACGCTGACCTTAAAGCGAGTAAAACTGCCAGCTCGTCCAGCCGGCTCTGTTTGGTCCGTAGGTTTCATCATCCTTTCACCGTGTTTCACAACACTGGTGGCAGGGCAACCCACTTGGATGTTGCGCGTTGGCATTGTAGTCATGCCACCGGCATCTACGAATAAAAATACAGCCTTGGCGTTTTTTGCGTTCTTCAGGTGGCCAAAGCTGACGCTCCCTGCAAAGTTGTGCTAGCCTAGAAACGTCTGAGAGAGAGTGTTTTATTACATGCACACATACACACCCTGGTGTGGATGCAGAAAGTTCTTACTGTTTACTTATCTGTTTAAAATTCTTTGTGCTAATTAGCTGCATTTGTGTTGCATATATATGGTCATACTGGTGAGAATAAGAAAGATACAGAAGAGGTCTAAAATGTAGTTGTATCATTTATTGTATCCCATTACTTCCTTTACACAAGAACTTAAAAGGCTAATAAAAGCTTGTATAGACATATCCAAGAGAATTCTTTTTATATTGGTGTAAAATATATGTAATTCCCAAGTCTGAGAACTGTAATCTTTTTATCCCAGGCTGGTGTGTGTGTCTGTTTACATGTGTTTTCTCTTGGTGTATCTGTCTCACATAACTGGCTAGTGGCTGTGCCTGGTGGTGTTTCTTAGGAGAGAAAAAAAAAAAAACAAACAATGGCTAATGAGGCTGTCTCAAAGTTGCATTGTATGTTCTGAAGATTTAACTTCAAGTTAAATCTCTAGTTAACTAGACTGGCAGAAGATTTCTGGCAAAAAGGGAAAAAAAATGTATGGCTTACTTTGTTTTGCTCTGTTTTTCTTTACAAATTTATTTCTAAATTGAGGCTTAAATTATTATGGATCATAGAAGTTGACTTCTATGGGGTGTTTGACAGTGTAAGAACTTCAACTTTGTTTGAAAGTTTTCAGGGAATGTGAGCACTGTGTTGTATATGTTATAGAAAGCATTGGTTGGAAGATTATGTCCACAGGGAGCTTATCTTAACGTTTTCTTAAAGTATAAGTTTGAAACCTGTTGTAAGATGTGAAGGTTTTCCTGTTGTTGGTTTGATATTTTTTTTTAACTTTGTTTTTGTTTAATTTCAGGGAAAGCTCAGGCGGAAGGTGGATCAGCTCGGACATCACTTCTTATTTTAGTGTCCATCTTCTTATCAGCTGCTTTCCTTATGTTCCTCGTATATAAAAATTTCCCACAACTTAGTGAGTAAGTATGTCAGGAAAAATTAATTTATTTGCTTTTCATTCAGTATCAAATTGTAGAGGAGCCTACATGGGGTTAAGTGATTTTTAAACTGACGAGTTAATTATAGACATAACCTTATTTTTTTTAAAAGGGAATTTGAGTTTGTAACCTAGAATGTGAGGATACAGAGCTTAATATTTAAATTCTAACCCCTAGGATCTGTGTAAACCGAGTTGTACTTGACCTAGGGTTTCTGTTGCACAGTTGAGATACCATGTTTTGAAAAGTTACCCCTTGTCACATTAGCAATGGTAATGCACTATGTTTTTAACCGTCCTCAGTTGAGAGCCAAGACATACTTGGTTAGGGCTGGGTTTACTTTAAAATTCTTTGTGGACTGGTATAACTGGAGGCTGTCATCAAAAGGGGACATCCTTACTCAGTATCTAAGCTTCACATTCTCTTTTTCTCCTTTCTGTTGTATCTAGTACCTCATGTTGGGAAGGTAGATAGTTTGACAAGATGGAAGCCTACTTGTCTGACAACTTTTTTTTTTCTTTTAGTAGTTAATTTTCTGTCTGATTAACTTGCTCAACAAGTTCAGTTTGCAACAGTCCAATCACTAAGTCTGGTACAGAGGAGGAGAGGACACTCAACTGTGCTGCCCAGGGTTGCACCAGATTAAGGTGTGACATGAGATTTTGCTCTTAAAGCTTTGTTTGTTTGTGAGGTAAAGCTCTGCCAATCTTGCTGCACTTCACATGTTATGACCCTAATGTTGAGGCAGTTACAGTTGATTTTGGCTGAAATGTCGACCACTGTTCAGTTGCCAAGGTTTGCTTTGAGTAATTATTTTTTTTTTAATCAGTACTTGGTAAGAAAAAAAAAAAAACAACTTAGAAATGAAGCAGATTATTGTAATGAATTAAAAAAAAAAAGGTTTGAAAATATCTAAAATGGAGAATTTTCTATTACAAAACCCAGTGTAAATATCAAGTGTTCGTCTGAGAACATTATCACAACAATAATCGTGGTTTGTTTGCTGAGGTTGTACTTTAGTGATGTAGTGAATTTAATTATCTAATATTCAGTAAGCAATTTTACTGTACTGTTTATTTATATTTACCACCTTTTTTTTTTTTTTTTTTTCCAGAGAAGAAAGAGAATGTATAAAGGTTCCTAGAGATATGGATGATGCAAAGGCATTGGGGAAAGTCTTGTCCAAATACAAGGACACGTTTTATGTTCAAGTGTTAGTGGCTTATTTTGCCACATATGTTTTGTATCCTTTTTCTGATACAAAGGGCAGTTTTGATGTAGTCATATTTCTCTGAAAAAGAAATGGCAAGTACAAACTTACAAATTCTTGATCATGGGTGAAGAAGGCTAACATACCTAGGTTTGTTTATAAGTAGACACAAATACTTCAAAATCTTTGAACTTAAAAACATTTCTTATGTGTTTCAGTATGCTTTTTGGACTGTAAGAAAGGATTGAGTAGAATGAAATTGATGCATGTGTGTATAGTAGTGAATGTGCTTGGGGGTTTGCGTGCAGCTTCAATTTGATTGTGTCAATATTTTTAGCTTTGATATTGGATTTAGTCTCATTTTGGTGTTATGCTAACTTTTTTTTTATTGCAAACTGAATTGCCAGTTGGAAATTACTGTTGATTCTGAAGGAAAACTGACACTACTGCACTGTTCTTCATTCAAAAGTGCCATATAAGGGTAATTTACAGAATATTTTACAGCATTTCTGAAGGAAAGCGTTTTGAGTCTTCTTTCGTTTCTGCAGTGTCCACATTCAAAAACCAAACCTCTATTTCCTTTTAGAGAGGAAAAATTTCTGAAGTACTTTCTGCCTAGGGAGACACAAAGGCTACCTGTGTTCTGTGTTAACTTCTTTTTCCTGAGTGCTGAATATATTAATTAATCATTAAACACACTCTTAACTGGAACACTTAACTAAAGGTTAATAACTTTTAAAAGCTGTATAAGAAGTCTGTTTCATAGTTTAATGCAGGAGGCTTTTGTAACTGAGAAAAATCAGTGCTGAATGTGCCATTAGTAATTATCCTCTAGGTCGTTCTTTTTAAGGGTAGTTCACAAAGAATAGATTTATGAAGAAAATTAAAATGTTCGTTTACATATTAACATGAAGTAGAACAGAATTGGCTGTTTATTGAACTACTATAGCAGCTGATGTGACGACATTTACTGTCTCAGCAATAGACTGTGATCAGTTGACAAGCATGTTACAGTTATCTCAGAACCTTGACACTTGCTTAGGAAAAGCTGTACTGGTTGTAATGGACTTTAATATCAAGGAGGATGATTTGACTTATTGATATTTCAGTCAATTCAACTCAGATAAAATAGTGTGCAAAAATTTTTTGCTTTATGAGATTTCTATCCAAAGTGAGCAATACATCATAGTCTCAAGTATGCCTAGCAAGCCTTAAGCTCAACAGCCTGTTCACTTATGCTGCAGAAACTTAGTTTTTGCATTTTTGAAAAACTCTGACTGAAACTAGTGTTCGTGTATCCTACTTAACTAGTGATTGCACCATGCCTATCTGTAAGGAAGTAGTAGTTGCTTTTATATAACGTCAGGCTTTCATGAAACTCATAGTACTTGTGGGCTTGGGCAGGAGTTCCGTCAACTTTTCAGAGACAATATCTGAAATGTGTATATCTCTAGTCAACAACATAAAATCAGAAGTATGTGTTTCCTGTAATGTTACAATAAATCCTTATAAAAATTAAAAAAAAAACCAAAATTAAGAATTTAAATTTAAAAGAAACTTAATATTTTTTTCTTAACTAAGATGCATCCAGCTTGCAAACATTTGCTATCCCTGGGTCTATATTTCTCAGTATCCTGTCAGGGTTTCTTTATCCCTTTCCACTGGCCTTATTTCTTGTTTGTCTGGTAAGTATGGAAAATAGTTTGCAAGGGCGTATATTGCTATCTATTTGGAATACATCCAAGCATCTAAACAGCTTCCTGTTTAAAATGGTCAGAGTCTGAGTGAAATAGGGGTATGAATGACTTCTCATTCAGCTCTGTTGTGAAAACAGTGTTACCCACAAAGTTCAGTGGAGCATTGGGAGATGATCCAGAAAACTAAGCTGTTTCTCCAAGTTTTCTTGATAATAGAAACACCTGGGTGTGAATTCAGCCAGAGTTTCCTTTAATTTAGATTTGTCTACCATCCACCAGAATCTGATTCTAATTTCAGGACATGATTACTGCATTTTTGTTACCATACTGCAAAAAAATCTGTTTTTAAATGGCCTAAATATCTAAGAAACTTAATTTAAGATATGAAATGTTTTGTTATTGACAAGCTTCAAAGAATGTCATGTGCAAAAGTTGCAGTCATAAGGAGCCTTACTACTTAAGAATGAGGTAATTGAGTAGGCATGGAGGACCAAGTTGATGAATTTTGAAGTGTGAATCTCTTTAATGCCATTGTGCTCCTTACTTGCAAAGCTTTTACTGTTCAAAATCTTAAAACTGCAGAAGCATTCAATAGTAACTCATAAGTAATCAACATTGTCTACTTTGAATGTTAAGATTGCGCTAAATTCCTTGGGAATAAAGGGACTGTCTTGGGTCAACAACGTTCGTGGGGAGCGTGTATATACTGCCAAAGGAGAACCCTTCAGCCTCAATGGAGGGCATCACAGAAGCAGGCTCTATCCAGCCAGTGTAGTTAATAGGGATATAAAGATAAGATTAATTAGAGTTTCTGCTCATTGGTTTTTGTTTGGTTTTTTTTTTCAGTGCTCAGGACTTGGAGCTTCATTCTGCTATATGCTTTCATACCTAGTGGGACGTCCTGTTGTATACAGATATTTAACAGAAAAAGCAGTAAAATGGTCAGAACAGGTAAATTTTCTAAAGATGCTGAAACGTATGATAGAAAATGTATGTTGGAAGAGCATGGAAAACTAGGGAGTCTTGTGCTTGTGTATCTAGTTATAAAGAAAGCATTCTGACTCCTTTCTGGCACTGTGTAGTTACTTTCTCTGAGTGTTCTTAAACAGTGGGGAGTATTCCTGGTTTTATGGTATTTCCTATAAGGAAGCTGTTTTTACCTAGGAAGCGTTTGCAACTGGTAACTCCCCTGGTTTAGCTAATGTCAATAGGAAACCTCTCCAGTTTCAACTTAAAGTAATGGCTCTCTAAGAATTGAAACTAATGAAAGCTGTGTTTGTGTTTTTGTAGGGGAAGAAAACCCATAGCTGTATGTCTCATTGTAACACCTTAATTTGAAGATGTTACTGTGGTTGGAGCATTTAGAAACTTTCTCTTACAGTATCTGGTAGCATTAGTTTCAGCAAGTGTTAATTGTCAGATGAAGTTAAAGATTTTACAATACAAAATCATAGTGTGATTAGTATTTGACGTCATGTCTCTTGCTTTGATACTCTGAAACACATTCAAACAGATTTTTTTTTTTTTGGCAAGTATGAAGCATAGCTTACTACTGTACTCTGTTCAAGATTTTTTAATTGCTTAAAAATATTTTAAGCTTGTTCTTGATTAGGTGAGATGTTGAGTTGTGTCCTGCACAATCGATCTTACTAAGTAATATAGTAGTATTTTGACTCTAGACCCAAGTAAATCTTGGTATCACAGTATAATCTTGAGGCTATTCTCTAAGTGGCAATGGTTACTATTTCCATTAGTAGAACTGGATATGTGATTTACAATTAGGTAATCACATGTGCAGCTCATACCTCACCGCTTCCAGGTTAATTGGACTATGCCATGCTTGCGTTTTGAGGCCTAAAGATATTTTATGTGCAGGATTAATCAATGTTTACATATTTGTCTTTTGCTAAGATTAAAAAAAACCCACAGTGGTATTACAGAACAACAGCAGGGGTACTGACTTTAGTGTTGCAGTTAAAGCTAAAGCCGGGGGGGAGGGGGCAGGAAACAAGGTTGTGACTGGTATGAGTTGCTATGTGAAATTTCAGATGGAATTGCGATCAGACCGGGTTTAGTTTCAACTGTGTGGGGGCCAGATGACCATGTTTGGTTTTAGGCTTAGTGAAGGTTTGCCAGGATAGGCCAGAAGTGATGGATGCTTTGCTATCCTTATAACTTGATTTGAGGTTACAGTTCTTGTTTGAAAGGGCTGAAGTGCTAAAGCCAGGCTGGAAGGAGAAGAGGGTTTGATGTAGTACTAGTGTAAGGAGCTGGGCTAGACTTGAAAATATAATGAAGGCTGTAAATAAAGTTGGGGTTATTGTGGTTGTTCCTGGGTACATGTTCATGATAGATAGGTTTTGCAACTGTGTTGGCAGCAGCCATCTGACGAACTTCAGAGTCATGACCTGGGTATGTTTCCAACTGAGGAATATAGCTGTTTCAAGTTTCGTCATGAGTTAGGGTAGAATGGGTTGAGGAACAAACTTCATTGCTAGTTCCTGCAAAAGCTTTAGGAATAGGATGATAAACTGGCCGTGTTGATTGGGCTGCAGTTAGACAGGCAGAGGTTGCTGGGCTAAAGTTATGGTTAGGCCTGCTGCTGCACTGAATTACTTGTTTGCTGTTTTAATTGGCTAATTCAGACACATCATCACGATGCTCTATCACAGACTGGTATTTCCAGACTAACTTCAGTACTGTTTAACAGGTGATTCACTGATGACTCTTCCTTGAGTCACTCATTGTTTAAACTGACTTTTATGTTTCCAACTTGTAAATTTCTACAAAAAGATACACACACACAAAAAAAAAACCAACCTCACAAACCTCTAGTAGTAAAATCATTGTGTATTTTCAAGGCACTGAAATTTACTGAATTTTTTGTTTTTGTTTTGGCAGGTTGAAAGACACAGAGAACACCTCATTAACTACATAATATTTTTGAGAATAACACCTTTTCTTCCCAATTGGTTTATCAATATAACATCTCCTGTAATTAATGTGCCATTGAAAGTATTTTTCATTGGCACTTTTCTAGGTAAGAATTCTGGCGAGTGAACTGCAGTTTGGGGGTAGCCAGAAGAAGGGATATTACTTGCTTCTCTCTGTATGCGTTGTTCAGCAGAGGTTACCACCTACTGGACAGTTGAAAGACTGCACAAGGATGTTGGTTTTGTACTTTTCGATGTGTGGAGCTTGTAGCATCAAAAGATTTTAGTACTCAGGACTATTCTGATATACTGTATCAGAGGTAATGACCCCAGGCTAATTACTTGCTTAAGGAAACATACATCATATGAACACTTTATTAGTAACTTTTTTGTTCCGCTCCATGACTATCATACTTTTGTGAACTTCTGTAAGCTCCTGTTTTGAGCTCAGCATAATTGCGGGAGGATGGATGTGGCTTTGACCTGAAGGATTGTTTCTCCCCTTCCCAATCTATTTTGTTCATTGTAATATATCTTCCCAGGAGTGATTTCAGAATTTAACTAAGGTAGTGCTAAACACTTTAATTTTGTAATTGGCATATTTTTGCAAATACTTTTAAATCTGGTTAGGAACAATCCATATTTTTCCTTTATGAACTTAAATAAAATCCATTTGTAGAGAGACAACTTGAAATCTGCAGAGTCTAAAGAGCAGAGATTATTTTCCCAATCTTCTGTGTTTGAGTTGGTGTTAAAAATATTAAAAATTGCATAAAACCAGTTCTTTTGATACAGGTTTTTTGTCTTTGAATTTTGTATTTACACCCCTCAAGTACAAGGCAACAAAGTCTGAAATTTTTGGTGTTAAAAGTTGGATGACTAATTTATGATTTTTTTTCCCCCCATTTTTTTCACCCTAACAAGCTGTTTTTTCTTCTTTTGCCCTCCTACCTTTCTAATTCCCTGCTCCAGGTGTGGCACCACCATCTTTTGTAGCCATTAAGGCAGGAACAACGCTCTACCAACTTACAACAGCAGGGGAAGCTGTTTCCTGGAACTCTGTTTTTGTTCTCATGATTCTAGCCATCCTCTCCATCCTACCAGCTGTCTTCCAGAAGAAACTGAAACAGAAGTTTGAATAAGGATCAAACTGGACCAGAATTTCCCATACTTCATCTCAGGATCAGCACTTCTGATATTTGTATATTTGCTTTTTTATTGGATCTTAAGCAATTAAAGGGGAGGCTTGTAATTGATAAGAATGTCTTTAAATGAACACGTGGCCTAAAATTGAAGGAACTGTGTTCAGAAATGTACTGCATATAGTTTTGTAACCAAACCATCAGTGTTTTACTTTGGGAAGGGGTGTGTGTGGCCCTCAGTATGAGGAAAGTGAAAACACAGGTGTAACACTTTGCTCTGATTACATGCAGAGCAAAAATTGTAATGTAGACATAAACTGCAGATAATGCTTTCTAAAACTTACAGGAAAAAAACCCTTCATTATTCAGTCCAATTTTGTAACATTCTCTGTAGGCTTGCATGTGATCTGGTCTGAGTACATTTCTCATCAACAATATTTCTCTTCTTTTTTTGCCTTTGCGAGTTCCAAAATAATAGCATAATATAATAACGGTGCTCACTCAAACAAAGGTTTTTCGCAGTACTTCACAATGAAATTCTCATCTTGATTGTTTACTTCTATTTATTAGTGCTGCGTGCATTTAAATACTTGAACTTACATCTGCTTTACTAACTGGATTAACAAAGGCAAGTGTCACATCATTCTCTCTTGTCCTCTGTAAAATTTTATTCTGGAAGAGGATATAGGAAGGGAGGGAGTGGATTACAATTTTTATCATGGGTGGCTGATGATTTTGCAGTTCTAAATCTAATTTTTTTACTATTGATTATTTTGGCAATATCTCACTTGCATAGATTTATCCTGCCAATTTAAGAAAATGATCATATGATTATAAAAAACTTTCAGTTCTCAAGTGATTTAAAAATCTTTAACTTGAAGCAGTGTAATATTACCATTTCTCAAGCAATATGTAAAGAGCATAAAATATTCCATTGCAGCTCAATTCGTTAGAAATGTCAGGTACACAGATTGGTGCAGTTCTTATTAAAGAGCTGATTCCAAATAACGTTCAAAGCATGATCTAACAGAAGTCTCTTATGTCAGTGTATATACAATTGAACGGATGATTCCATTGTCTGGTAAGTCAGTAACTGGCAATGGGCAACCAGCTGTGATTCAACTTTAAGTAGAAATGTTCATTCATAAGGTATATGATACCTCTCCTCATATGGTTATAACTGTTGTAGTTTGTTGTATTGTCAGTGGAATCCCATAAAATGAGGCCCTGATCAGCAAGGAACTGGGGTATGTGTTTGAGTTTTATCCTACTGAAACCAGTGCTGCTTATATGCTGTAGGTTGGTGCCCCTGGAGTATCTTGCTGAAATGGGTGTTTGCACGTTAGCATATGCTCCAATTCAAGCGTTGATTTGTCTGTGTCCTCATGTTAACTTGTCGTATAACAGATCATTGGGATGCAAGAGAACAGTTCCATAAATGTGATAATGTGAAAGGTACCGGTACCTTTAAAGAGTTTTGTTCTTTTTGTAACATAATGTTAATTGACTCCTTCATTTCATTGCAGTATTACATGTAAATATATAGTAAATATTATTGATACACTATTTGTCTTTTATTTAAATCCAGGCTGCACAGTAAATGGTATTTTTTACATAGGTAGATAAAGGAATTCGTATCACTTCTGTTTGCAAGCTTATTGAAAGATCACTTAGCTTCTGTAATTATTTTGTTATTTAGAATTTGCTCTAAAAGTGTACTTTATTGGCATTTAAAACTGAACAGTGATTATTTTTATTGCTGCAGTTCTAATCTTGGAGGTCATCTACCCAGGGGATTTATTCCATAGTAAACTTGAGTGGGAATTTAGCAGTTGTGAGCAAGTGTCCCCTGGAGTGTTGAGTGTGGAGTTGCTGTAGATTTACAGCCTACTTTTCTGCATAGTTAATTTTTCATGCAGATGAACTCTCAGAATAAATTACCTACTATTTATTGTCTAGTGTTTTTTCTCAAAATTTGGCTCAATTTCTGGTTAATAACAGATGCTGTTGTAAAATTCCTTCTACATAAAATCCCCGTATAGAGCAAATATTTTTGTGGAACCTTGACACTAAAGGAACTGAGCTATGTTTCAATTTAATGGGAATCATGCTATCACTTGACATTTTCACAGAGTTATATTTCACTGTGTAGATGGGATCAGGCTATGTTACTGAAAAACGCGTTGTGTTTCAGCCATAGACTGGGTTCCCATCACAGTAGCTAAAAGCCTTAAGACCTTAAAAAGGTTGAAAATAAGGTTCTTTCCTTTTGCGAAACCTTAAGGGGTTTTTAACTTGTCCCTTCTGTGTTTATCTTCAGCTGCCGCGGCCTCAGGCAGTTTCCTACTCCATGAGGACTACTTCTGAGGGTTGTGACGAGTAAGGAAGGCCTCGTGAAAAAGGCAAAAAAGCACTGTGCTGTGGAATACTGTACTAACCTACTCTTCCCTTTAGGGAATCCAGCACATGATCCAAGAGATAGCCATAACATTTTGACAGGAAAACAGTAGCTACTGTGAAACAAATAGGGAAATTAGGAAGATGTAGCTTTGTTTTTTTAATTGCGAGGAATTTTGAGCTGTTAAGCTACCTGTTTATCTTTTGGAATTTTTTTGTGATACCTGCATGACATCATTACTAAATGTCTCTTGCCATTTGATAATAAAGCTATTATATAAAACATGAAACATTGTATTTTTGAGTGCAATTAAGCATGCTGAACTTCCCACTAAGCTTAATTTTTTTATTAACCTGTTTAAAAGGGATGAGTTCTTCTAAAATGGTATTTTTAAATGACTGATTAAAAATTGAACTGAGCTGATTACATCTGTAGATGAGATTCATTCTGTTTCTACCTTGACTTCCTTTTCTGTCTGAAATTAATTTCTCACAAATAGTAACTTTGTCAAGCTTTTATATTTTGCACTGGAAGGCAATTTGGTCTAGCTTGTTTCATCTTTTCAGATGGAACCATTTGTGTAATTTGCTCTTTTTTTATTTTTGCATGAATTCCTGATAGAATGCTCATGTGCTGAAGTTATTACAGCTTCATTCACCTTCCCTTAATATTCTGTTATGTTCAGTTTATGGAGTTCTTTTTTTGCCTTGTGTAGAAAACTGATGCAGAAAGCTTGCTGAAGGGTTGAGACAAATGAAGTAGAAGTTAAAAAATGAGAAGTCTAGAAGTCTTTCTTCAAAATGTTAGTGAACTATGCTATTATGCAAAGTCAAAACATGGTTTTGTCAAGCAACTTTGAAGATTTTTGTGTGTTGTTCCTGAGAATATTCACCATGTATAGTTTCTGTGATAACCTAGTTTTACAGTAGTAACTAAAATGCAGTGTCGATTGCTCTGCTTTGCATTAGAGCTGAAGTATGCTGCCTGCCTCATGCCATGCAGTTTACTCTGGATTAAGCTGAACAACCAGCAGAATCGACTGAACCAGGTAGCTGATCGAGGACTAAAACACCCAGCAGCTACAGCAGGTACACCTTTACAAATGTAAGGATTAGCTGAAATAGATGCCTTTGTGAGAGCTCTCGCTACAGGAATGAAATTCATACCTCCAGTGTTTTGCACTAGAAATACATTAAAAAGGAACAAAACAGGAAATGCATTTCTTTCTGTTTCTTAGTCTCATATTTTTTTCTTCTTTCATTCTTGTAAGTAATGACAGTGGAATAATGACTCTGGGAATTGTGGGAGCTAAAGCACTAAGAATCATACCTTCTAGTCAAATTCCTCTGTTCAAAATTAGGTTCGGCACAGTGAACAGATCCTGTCCCAGGACTGCCATGAGAGTGCCCATCCATTCCTTGGCACATGCTACAGTGCCAGGAAGGGGAAGACTAACTATCCTTCAAATATTTAATGAACTGTTTCTCACCATGTGGGATGATCTCTTTTGCAAGATTACAAATTGGGGTATTTTTTTTTTTTCCAGAAGGCTGAAAAGAATACGGGTCAAATTACAGAAAACTTCCCTTCTGTCATAAATAGTACAAGGGTTGTGAACCATATATTTTAGTATGACAGTGTTAAGAGGGAAATGAAAGAAGTTTTGACAGAAGAGCAGGATCCAGAGCGAGCTTTTCAAATTTCCCTTAAAGAGAAGTCAGTTATTCTGATTATTTTAATAACCAATTGATGTCTTGCAATGACACATTTCTGTCTAACTCAGCTGGTGGCTGCTCTAGGTCACCCAAACGGAAAGAAGTTATGGCCTTTTAATAATGGCAATTAATATGAATAAGAGCATAATATGTTTACTAACATACTGTAACTCCCCTTCTTGTTCTTAAAAATATTCCACATAGTGTAATAATTCATGTTTCCTTGTTTTATAGTACACAAGAAAGAATGTGGGTCTGGATTATAAGAGATAAGATCAATGACTGGTGTACAACTATGCAAGAGGCCTCATAAAAACTCCTTTCTCTAGATAATTGTCAAAACAGAGAATTCTGCTTCTGCGCATATCTAGGACTTCAATGATATCTTCATAGCCTTAAAAGGTTAGTAGAGAGAAGATTAGTAGGCACTGGAGAGGAGTGGGAGTGCCACAGTGGGAAATAGCTTTTAAAATTCTGCATCGGAATTACAATCTAATGTTATGGTCGTAACTTCTGATTTTTCTTTGTCAACTTAGCCCTTGAGCAGTTGTATCCAATAATCTGTAATTTACAATGTTTACTGTAATTGGAAGAAAAGTGTTTTGAGCAGATGACTAAATCATTCTTAGATTTGACTATTCGTTCTGTGTGAAAATGATTTCTCACAGGGAATATCCTCAGGCCAGGGGTTGGAAGGGCACAGAACCCAGCTGGCCTGTCCACTGTCTCCAGCAAGAGAGCAGGGCAGGCCGGGGGCAGCCCCAACCAAGAATCTTGGTCATCACACAACTCTGTAGTGATGAGGCAGGTCAGGTGAAGCCAGAAATGCAAATCAGCAAGGCAAGGTCAGCATTGGGCCCAATAAGGGCAACCAGGGTCTGACCCAGCTCAGCAGCCCAACTTAAATGGGCACATGGTTGGTGGGGTTGAGACCCGAGCTCAGGCTGGTCAGGGGCCCTAAGGCCTATTAGTGTGTTCAGGACGCTCTTATAGTCAGTTTCTATCTTGATATGATGACTTTGATGGGACTTATCCTGAATTATATCCTCTGATTCTCCTCCAGTGTTAAGGGAGATCCTAAATGCTCAGTCTGAATACTAAAAAATCTGTTAAGAAGATAGAGTAAATCAGACATTTGGATACCCAAGCCCCCTGTGTGGATCTAGCTCGGCATCTCAACTGGAACACTAGGCCAGACAACCACAAGTCTTCAAAGTTAACCAATGTGTGACCTTGACTATGTCAGTATTGTGTGGTTTTCTGAAAGCCTCTTGATCTTATGTTTGCCTTGGTCTTGACATCAGTGATGAAAATCAGGGTATTATCTTCTCTCTTTTTCATCGTTGATTCTGTAGTCAAAAGGAACCTCTTAATGTTATAAAGTTCAACCTTATTCTGGTGTGGGGTGCTCTTGCAGGGGTTCCTAGGCTGCCTTTGCAGTCACTGGGTTGAGTCTCAGGCCTCCTGCAAGTGGGAAACGTACAGACCTTCTTGTATCCGTGGATGTTTTCAAGACCCTTCTTGGCTGTCAGTGCCTTGGTCTTTCCCTCCACCTTGGAGGACTTGGCCTCCTTAGGCTGGGGCACCATCCTCAACAAGATGAAGCAAAAGGAGTGGAAACCAATTAAACCAGACTCTCACATACTTACTCTCTGCCTTCATCTTGGCTGTTGGCAAACCCTTGGACTTCACCAACAAGTGGCCTGGTGCCACTGCCCATCTGAGGCTCTGGGAGCCCTTGTGGTAGATACACCTGCAGAATGCATCTATGACCTGCTCACAAGCTGCACTACCAGGTGTGGCCTCCTGGAGCTGGGGAGAAGAGGGACAACGCTGCATGGCAGTTTAAAAAACGTTCAGCACCTTGGTATGACAGTTCTCTGATCTGTGCCCTGGTGTGGGAGGATGAGAGTTAGGTGATCTGGCGTGCAGGCTGTATTCCAGAAGTCTGTTGTGTGGGCATCGCTTACACCAAATGCATTGTTGTTAAGTAATCACAGCCAGTTTCAAGTGTTCAGTTTTGCAGACTGGAGAGGATTCCTTTAATGTTAAGTGTCACTGATTTATTCTTTTTTTTTTTTTTTTAAAGAATCCAGGGTAAACATCTTAATCAAAGTCATTAGAAGACACCATATCCAATCAGCACCCTGACAACTGTAGTGATCTGTTTATGCTTTGAGTTCTGTTACCTTTCTGAGCTTACCTCATCTTGGGAACCAGCTGCACAGAAAAAGGGCAGATACCCTATTTCAGACTTTTTCAGTTCTCTGAGCAGTGTTGAATGAAACTGTAATTTGCTGTTTAAGTTTCTTACTGCTTATTAAATAAACTCTTCCAATAATTGTGACTCTGGGTGTTGGCAAAATAAGCCTGAATTAACTAGTATGAGGAATAATCAAGATACGTTAACATTAAGTTTTGTCTTCATTATTTTTCAAATACTTTATTCTCTTTGATTTAAGGCTTGAGCTTGAAAATCCTGGTCTTTGCCATTGAAAACAGCAGCTGAATCAACAGGGATAGTCTTGCCAAAGATAATGAATCTTTTAAATCACTTCCCATTTACTAATATAGCTTACTGATTCTCTGGCTAAACAGTCATAGTTTCCACAGATTTCATAATTCCACAGATTTTCTCAACATCATAAAGAATACTTTCAAGAATTCATAATGTAGTTTAGAGTGTTGTTGCCTTACTCAAGGATGTCTAAACAATTTGCAAAGTTTACTGATAAAATTGCCATATTTTGGGTGTTTCCTGTGATGGGAACATTGCTCAGGAAGACTGACAGATGAAAGCTCCTGGCCTTTGAATTGGGTGTCACACGTGTTGCTTGTGGTCAGTAGGCAAGAGCGTTTCAGAAATGAAATAACTGGGAGAGGAAAAGATACAATGGAAAAGAGACAGTTATTGACACAGTGGGAGGAGAAAGCTGTAGTTGTTTGGGTGCATCTACTGGATGCCTAGACTGAAGAGAGACCAGGCTGTAAACTGGCTGGAAAAGCAGAGAATTTATCTGACAAAGCATGAATGAGCTTTTCATAGTAAAAACTGTGGTGACTCCTGTCTTTCTTGATTAATTAACCTTTTTTTCATGCAGTTCCTCCCTTGTTCCTTTCTTGTAGCAATTCAAAGCAAATCTGAATTTCTTAGGCTGAGACTCCTTGTAAAAAATATTTCTCATCCCTTACCCTGTTGTGTAGCGAGGCACGTGTGCATTTAAATATTGTTGCTCAACAGTAATTCTGGTAATCCTCTGCTTGCTTACTGGCTCATCTAACTTCATTTGCTAAATATTCTAAATACATGGTCATTGCTGGAACAGTTAAAATGCAAGTAAAAACAATTTTTATTTCACCATTTTGCTCTTTATTTGAAAAAAAAAACCCCAACAACCCAATCCTGCCAATAGCTGTGCTATTTCCCTAGACTTTCTTGCAAGTCCTTCTGAGACCTTCAGGCTATGACTTTTGTTTATAAGGGTTAAACTACAGTTCAGGCTTACTCGAAAGAAGTTCACCATGTGCCGAATAAATTGTCCTTTGCCACATCAAAAGCAGACTGAGAAGCAAACTGTGCAAAAAATGGCTAGAGAACATAGCAGAGTAGGAACAACCACATTTAGCTAGTGCTGTTCTCTGTTGCTGTCTTCTGCAAACCACCAGGCAGGCTCAACATAATCTAAATGTACGTGCTTACTGTAGTTAACTTGAGACTTTCACTCTAATATTGCTCCTAGTTATCCTGCTAGCTTTATTGAAATCTCTCCCTCTGCTTCACTAGTGGTTTAAAATTGAACTGTCAATCAAACCTAAGCAATACTTTTATTCATTGATAAGCCATCCTGTGGCCCATACACTCTTAATCAAGTGAATACTGATAGCTTTTTCCTATTTCCCACAAGGATGGAAAAGCTCTTCACAATTTACTGGGTGAAATGGCACGAGAGCTTAGTTATTGTACTGCAAAAGGCTGTAGACCATTGGCAGTGAAGTCTTATATGTGCTGCTGTCTCTAGTGCCCACAAAGAACTCAATGTCTTGGCAATGTAAACTCACATAGTTTCACATGCTTGATAGTATGTTCAATTAGATTGGTGTCTGATTAATTCAGCATTATGGATGCAACCTTAACTACTTGGGCAGACCTAGGTAATAATCCTGAAAGACTGAAAAGTTTTAATTTCTCCTGTTATGAGCCCTACAAAATAGGGAAGGATTCTGATGTGAAAGCCACAAATAGAGAACTGAGTGAGGAGAGGAAGAACTACCTACAGATGTAACTTTAACCTAGTGAGGCTATCCCACGTCCCTCTATGGTCAGTGGAAAGAAGTGCTCCCAAGGCAGAGCATGGGTGTGTGTTACTTGTCCC